ACTTAATCTGCACTAATCCCTTCAGATTAAGTTGTTTCACCACATTATAGCAATAATCAGCATCTTCCTAGGGAATCTGAGATCATGAGAAAGAGCTTTTCTGATATAGAGCAAGGAAAGCTCACAATACTCTTAGCATAGAAATAAATACTCCTGGATTGGTCCCCTGAATCTGCTCTATGCTTTTTGCATTAGTTATCTACTGCTGCATAACAAAACACCCTGAAATTTAGCAGCTTAAGACAACAATAAGCATTGTTTCACCCAATTTGTGTGGGTCAAGAAGGTGGGAGGGCTTAACTGAGTGATGCTGGTTGCCAGTCTCTCACTCTGGTTGCATTCAAGACATTGGCCAGTTTTGCAGTCATCTAAAGGTTTGGTTGGGGTTAGGAAAAATCACTTCCAAGATGGCTCTCTTACATAGGTGGCAATTTGGTACAGATTGTTGGCAGAAGGCCTCAGCTCTTCCTATGTTAATCCTACACCTGTGTGTAGGATTAACACAATATTGTGGCTGGCTTACCCCAGAGAGAACAAAACAGAAGCTATGTCTTTTATGACCTATAACCTCATATACCATCATTTCTGCAAAATCCCACCGGTAACACAGGGAGGGAGTTACCAGCAGGGAGTGCTCAGTGGGAGAAGGGAATACACAGGGTATGAATACCAGGAAGCAAGATTACTGGGTCCATCTTGGAGGCTAGCTACCATATTCATCATGCCACTCTTTCTATAATAATGAATAATAGAGGAAACAGATATTCCTTGAATAAGGAATGTGACCAATTTAGTCACGGAAAAGAGATATTATTTATTGTTAAATTACTTTTTTTTTACACATTCATCTTGTGAGATATTGTTAGTGTCAATAATCACCAGCAGTCTTATCATCTCTAGGCACATTGAAAAAAAACCTCCTAAACAAATCATGTTTCTGTGCTTAGACTAAGATGTAGCTGCAAAATTATTTAAGTATAGGAGAGACTAGGTATCAGCTGCATTTTTTTTTCTTTTTCAAGATGGAGTCTTGTCCTGTCACCCAGGCTGGAGTACCATGGTGAGATCTTGGCTCACTGCAACCTCCGCCTCCAGGGTTGAAGCAATTCTCCTGCCTTCTGCCTCCTCAGTAGCTGGGACTACAGATACATGCCACCACACCTGGCTAATTTTTATATTTTTAGGAGAGACAGGTTTTCACCATGTTGGCCAAGCTGGTCTTAAACTCCTCAACTCAGGTGATCCACCTGCCTCGGCCTCTCAAAATGCTGGGAATACAGCTGTGAGCCACCGCACCCAGCCTCAGTTGCATTTTATTAGGATCATTCTGAAGCATAGCCTATAGGATAAATTTGTGGTAGGGTTGGAGACAGAGCAATATTGGGACAGAGAAACCTGTTAAGAGGGTATTTCAGATAGCCTCTTTATCACAGATAAAGTTTTACAACTCTCAGTATTGCTATGATTCCTCATTTCCTCATTAGCCAACCTGAACCTCAGCAAACAAGTCTTGCCTGAGCAGTGGTGTTCCAGTAAATGTTTAACAGTCAGCTCTCAGGAAAACGCAAAGCAAAGCCCTAACTTGTATAACAATTTCTAGAGCATAAGTACTTTCACCATGGCCAATTCCAAGCAACCAATATGATGTCACAGGTCGGGGGATTGGGAAGAGATATACACACTGGCTCTTGTGGCCCAGTAGCACTTGGCTCCAGCACTCCACTGCTACCTTTGAGCTCTTACAGCAGAAGCAGCCAGAGAAGCAGGTTAGCAGTTCTGGAACACAAGGGCCCAGCTGAGTTTCCGCCCTCATCCACATGGCCAGCAAAGGTGAAGATGGGCTCACCCCAGAGGAGGGCTACCAGGGCCTGGTAGGTCCCTTGCAGCAGACTCCTGGTGACAAACTGCCACCTGGATCTTCCACATCACAAGATTATTTTTTTGAAAGTGAGGTCAAGAAAGGAGGCACGGAGAGAAAAGCAGATTTAAAAATTTAAAAATTTAAGTGAGTTATCTAGATTTATTTACTAGATTCACTTTCAACAATTTGAGAATGAATCTTGGAACAAGGCCACTAGTTATTATATAAAGTATCAATGTTTTTTTCTCTTAATGAGAAGCTGTGCCTTTTTTTCCTATAAAGCAAAATCCTGGAGATAGGAGTTTATATTCCATCTTTCTAAAGAGGATTTTGGTTAATAAGATCATCCCCAAACCATGATTACTATACTTTTGCTAAGAGGTCTAGTCACACTGGGTTTTTCATATAAAACAAGAAAAATGTTCTTTTCTTCTCATCCAACATCTCATTATCTTCCAAAAATTTGCTGAATATAGTGTGTGTGTGTGTGTGTGTGTGTGTGTGTGTGTGTGTGTGTGACAGAGTCTCACTCTGTCACCCCGCCTGGAGTGCAGTGGCACGATCTTGGCTTGCTGCAACCTCCACCTCCCAGGTTCAAGCAATTCTCTTGCCTCAGCTTCCTGAGTAGCTGGGATCATAGGCATGTGCCACTGCGTCTGGCTAATTTTTTTGTAACTTTTAGTAGCGACAGGGTTTTGCCATCTAGGTCAGGCTGGTCTTGAACTCCTGACCTTGTGATTCACCTGCCTCGGCCTCCCCAAGTGCTGGGATTACAGGTGTGCACCACTGCACCCGGCCTGTATAGAACAGTCTGAAAAGTTGGTATATTTTGAAAAGAAATACAACCAACCAACCCAAATTTCCCATTAATAGCAGATTTGGATATTTGGTTATGAACACTAGGCAGGCTATGCTATAGATGTGCTTTTTCTTCCCAAGTCCCACAGTCCTGCAGTGAGACTGAAAGGGCTCTCTCGCACGCTATGGCACTAACGCAGAAGCTTCCTGGGCTGAAGCGGTAAGGAGTCACCCAGCAAGTAGTGGGGGGATGAGCATCTCCTGGAAACGCTCCTCTCATGTGTGTGGGGTAACGTGAGCATGCTTTCAGATTGAAGACATTGCTAACCAACAGAAAGGGAACAGCTAACTAAGTTCCCATCCAGTCCTGTGGTTCTTTGTCTTTGATTTACAACTCTTCTGCAGGGACTTTTTAGTTTTTTCAGGACAGAAGTCTGACATAAATTCTTTAAAATCTCTCCTAAAAGAGTTTATTTTATAAAAAGTTTTGGAGATATGACGTTTTTAGGCATTTTTATAAAAATGAAGAGATATGAGATCAGGATAGAGAAGGAAATGAAAAGAAAAAATGGGACCAACAAGCTGCACGTTTCAAGATTAGACTCAGGGAATACCTCAGAAATATTGTGGCCTTCTCCTTGTATCACATCATGAAGTACATGATGTTGCTTTTTCTTGTTATTGGTGATAAACCTGATCACTCAGCTAAGGTTGCTGAGTTTATCCACTATAATGTTATTTTCCTTTCTGAAATAAGCCATTTTGTACTTTGAGACTAAGTAAATATCCTGCTTCTCAGAAAAAAATTCAGTCAACTAGTTTTAATTCCACTGATGTTTTTCTCATTTTTTTTCCTCTACTTATTATTTGGTATTTTATTATAAGAAAGAGCTTTTCAGGCCTAGTGTGGGGGCTCATGCCTGTAATCTCAACACTGTGGGAGGCCAAGGCTGGTGGATCACAAGGTTAGTAGTTCAAGCCAGCCTGGTCAAGATGGTAAAACCCCATCTCGACTAAAAATACAAAAATTAGCTAGGTGTAGTGGCACAAACCTGTAATCCCAGCTACTTGGGAGACTGAGGCAGAGGTTGCAGTGAGCCAAGATCTTGCCACTGTACTGCAGCCTAGGCGAGAGAGCAAGACTCTGTCTCAAAAAAAGAAAAAGAATGAACCATTACTATCATTTATTTTGATTTTCCAAATGTCACAGATTTAGCCAATGGGAGCACCTTCAATCTGGCTCCTGTGAAATTTTATAAGCTCCCATGATTCCTTGAGCATTTCCTCACTTTTTGACAGACTACGATGTGCTGGGTCTTGGATAAAATTAGTTGTGTCTGAGGGTTCCAAGTAATATGTATTTCTCACTTATGGTTAGTAAACTAGTCTCCTGTGAACTTGGTTAGCATGAATGGTTTCTCTACCATTTACTCACCCTCAGTGAACCTGCAGAACAGTCCAAGTGGACTGTTGTGCTTTAGTGTAACCCAGTTTGAAGTATCTTCTGATTTCCATTGCAACATATGGCTTGACCACCTAATACTATCAGAGCCATGTTTCAGTGAGAAGTGTATGTAAGAACTGTCCCAACACAGGTGTAATCTAAAATTCTATGTTCATCACAGGTTTCAGAAACGTTGAGGTGACATGCCTGTCAGGACCACTTCCAGTAACCTCAAGCTTTTAAGAGTATGGACAATTCCCTCTACTTAACTGAGAACCAAATTCCCAGTCTCTAAGATCACGGGCTGAGAAAACTCCATTGATGAGACATATCTGGCCCACAACTTCATTGTTTCTTTGTGGACCATTTAAAAAACAAAACAACAACAACAAAAGCCCAGTGAACTGTTAGGACCACAGGATCACTTGGACTATTTTTAGAAATGGATAAAGGGTCTTGACACTTGTATGATAATATTCGGCGTTTTCCAATTCCTTTCTAGTTCCTTTTTTGAGACAGAGTCTCCGTCACCCAGGCTGGAATGCAGTGGCATGATCGTAGCTCACTGTATCCTCCACCTCCCATGTTTAAGCAATTATTGTGCCTCAGCCACTTGAGTAGCTGGGATTACAGGCATGCACCACCATGCCTGGATAATTTTTTGTATTTTTAGTACAGACAGGGTTTTGCCATGTTAGCCAGGATAGTCTCAAGTGATTCACCTGCTGCAGCCTCCTAAAGTGCTGGGATTACAGGCGTGAGCCACTTCAGCCGGCCTTCCAGTTCATATGCTTTAGGGCTTTAAATGAAACTGTCTTTTTCAATTTATATACATTTGAGAAACATTTTTCAAAATATTTCACCTAAAACACTGAGGTAAAAAACAGAAGCAGAAACTTGTAAAAATACATCATCTTTTAATAAACATCCAGAAGTACAGTGCACTTTTATTGAGGTTTTACATTGTAGTTTACAGCAAACATCGTAGTGTGTATTATGTACAAGTAAAGTAAACTTAGGTTTGTTTTCTCTCCCATGGCTGGATAAACCAAACCTGATACATCCACATTTAAGGTTGTTTTCCAAGTTGGCTTCCATAAAAGGCCTTTAACATTAATTGGCTTTTAACAACAAAAGGTATCCCATCCCTCCCATCACAATGAGAGCTTGATGAAGGCTCCAAAGTGACTTCAAAAACTGTAAATAATTATTTTCCTTTGATGGCTTTAAAAATAGCTATGGATAGCACATCAGAAACACTAAAGAAAAAAGACAATAAGGAAACTGCTGTTTGTCTAGTGAATCCATAATAAATACCAACTTGAGACTAAAGATTACAAAGCCAAAAGATTCTTATAGGAAAGCTTCATGTTTATATGTACAATCCCATGGACTAAAAAAACTGTCTAATGTCTTAATAGCTGAGTCTACCTTTCTTTAACATTGTTTATACACAAAGACCCAGGGTATGGTAGAATTTTTGATCCTTCTGGACAAAAGCACAGTGAGAGAGGACTGAAATTAATTAACAAAAAGGGAAAAAAAGTAATATTCATCTCAAAATTCTACCCACCACTGTCTTAAAATGATCAAGACTCCGCTACATCTGAGAAAAGTGAAAAGTGAAAGAAATCAGAAGCTATTAACTGAAAAAAACCATAGGCTTGTGTGCTTTCTACCGATGGTATTTAAAAATGTATACAACTAGATTTATTTGCTATATATATAAACTAGTGTTGGAATTAGGGGAAAAAGGACCAAATACATCTACACAAATACTAACTAGAATCATATTCAGATTTGCAAAAAGTATAATAATCTGTTTACCATACAACTAGCTATGTGTAAAATATGTAATGATTAATAAAAAATCCTTATGAATATAGTACTAATATGTAGCAAATTACACCAATTAAATAAGCAGCTCAAATTCATAAGGCTAAAGACCCAATATCCCTGAATTTCTAAGTGTTCACCTCAGTTTTACCATGGTTTCATCTAATTGTTACCTCATCAGAAGAGATACTTTTAAAAACTCCTCCTTCCTTAATACATCATCATACTTTCAGAAGTGGTGAGGAAACAATTTAATTTTTCTACCACTTTTGCCCATTCTCATAAAAGAGTGTTATTACAAAATCTAGGCTAACACAGGTGCCTTAAGGATACAATGGAGTGAAGTAAACAGAATTCCAAGGTCCAGGATATTGTTGGTATTGTACAATTTGTCTGTTTGCCAGAAATTCGTGTTTCTGGTTGAAATATATTCCTGGATCAATGATTAAGAAGTTAAGGCCAACTGTCAACGAAGTTAGACTGTTCCAAACTGTCAGGTAACATTTTGATCTTCTCTATTAAAATGTCTTACTGGATGGGACCAATCTCATACTTCTCACGTATCCTCTATAGCACCTAATAAAGTGTTAGGCAGAGATATATGCTCAAGGAAATAATCAGTGACGGGGGTGGGAAATTGATCAAGGGTGAATGAATCAAGATTATGGTAAGGCCATACCTTACTTCACCCATAACTCAAAAGGCAGTTACCAGAGTAAATCTCTAGTGCAGTCACTGAAGAACAGACTTCTTGTCCCATATTAAATTATGTGTGAAAGAGAACAAACTATTATGGCCCTTTTTTATTTATTTCTCTTAGCCAGTAAGAGACTGTATACGGGCATGAGTGCTGCCTGATGAATGATATCTCCAAAAAAGGATTTTCATGGAGGAAACACTAACCTGTCATAAAGCACAGTTTAATACCAATAATGTAATTTGTGGAATCATTAATACTAAAATTGTTACATGTCATTTGTAAGTAGCAGATATTTACAATGTTAGTCTTATTCTAACATCATTTAAAATACATTTTACTTTTAAACACTGGCATGAGGTAGAAGAAACTCACAAAAGTAATTTTCAACATACTGGCACCTATTCATACAATTAGCCCCAAGAGAGAAGAAGAGTTACAACCTTAAGCTAGATTATTGACTACTATTAAAATATTACCTTTGCCTGAAATAAATTTCTTATATTTGAAACTGCTTTTTTTTTTTTGTGCAGTTAAAGGTATTGTAGAAAAAAAAAATACGCACTGAAATGTTCATGAAGATTGTATACAAGAGTTTCTGTTAACCATCATTCTTTAACATGTTGCTTTAAATCATCTCAATTGTGATGCAGACCTTTTCCACTTATATAATTGGTTAGATATCAATACGAAGGCTACAATCCCTTCCAGTATAAGAAGCAAAATAAAAAATTCACATTTAATATAATGTACTTCTCATAAAAACTAGCAGCACTTCATTCTACCAGGACATACAAATTTGGCTTCAATAACTGGTCAAAAACAAAGGAAAATGTATATAGGTCTAAAAGAGCTCCTTGCACAAGGGGAATGTGAGGCTACAAGAAGTTTTAACAATTAACTATTTCCCCATTAAGTGGCGTGTGAAACTACTGGAATGTCAATTTCAATGGCAGAGAGGCGAGAGCGTGCTGAATAAGGCTGTGAATAAGTATGCATACTGGGTGGATGGGAGTACAGTGGTTGCCAGAAAGGAGAAGGCAAAGATTTGCATGTACAATACCAAATAAACAGTATAACGGAAGTCATGAACAGGCCCCCAGCACTAGCAATAGTGACATACACTGCATAGTCAAATGAAAAGACTGGCTCAAACTTCTTGTTCAGATGGATGTTATAAAAGAAGACCCAGATAGATGGGGAGAGGCTCACAGTACCTGCCAGGAAAAATAGCAGCCCAGCCACCAGGTGGCAACCTGCACTATTGACCAGACACTTGGCCAGTTTGATGTTGGGAACCGAGGACCTGAAGGCAGTGTTGCACATTCCAATCAGGCAGAGCAGCAGGGCACCCATTGCAATCAGCATGCTGAGGGGTAAGGCAAACTGGAGGACACGCAGGTCCAGCTGGTCAACTGATGAGTACCAAGTAGTGTCGTACATCAAGCAGTCACTGCTCCCATCATACCGGGCACATTTCACCCACAGGCCTGTGTAAACAGTCAGGTTCTTCTCATTTCTGTTGAATGTGATCAATCGTAATTTTCTCCAGTTGGGAAGCAAAGTCCCTGCAAAGAGGCCTGCTACTGAAGCGATTCCACACAGGAAGGAAAGGACTGTGGCTGCGTGGACATCCCGACAGCCCATGGCAGGCAAGCTTGTGGAGTGCTGTCAGTCAGACTAGGGGGTGACACATAAGAGGACAAATTGTGAGGGAACAATAGGAGAACAGAGAAGGAAGGGTGGTGCTAATTGGCAACACATCTAATGATGAAATGTCAATGCAAAGAGGAAAAGTCTCCCCCTTGTTTCCTCTCTGTACAATACAAGGGTATATAAATGCATGTGTGTGTGACCTCAGCACAGGTGCACACACATTTGGTTATTACTGACTGGGTCATGGAGCAACTAAAATCTTTAGCCATCAGTATTTTTCTTCACTACTTAAAAATAACCAAGATAATGTTAAAGTCTCTTACAATCACACCTTCAATCTTCTTGTCTGTCAATAATTGTTCTTTCAACACACATATATCCATCACTATGCATGTGTCAGGCACTCATATTGCAAGGGCCCACTCATCAGTCATCAGTTAGCTACAAACACCACAAATTCAGGCTCAAATGTTCACACAGCAGGGGTGGAGAAGGCTTATAAAAGGGAACGGCGTAGGGAAAGAAGCACTATAGGACAGAATGGTTGAGAGTCAACTCTTAGCCAGACTGCCTAAATTCTAATCCGTCTCCTCACTTACTAGCCCACTGATGTTGGGCCGGATACAGAACTTCCCTGCCTCATTTTCTTCATCTTTGAAATGGAAAAAATAAGAGTGCCAACATCACAGCGTTGTTCTGTGGGTCCAATGAGATAATATAATGTCAAGAGCTTAAAACATGTCTAGAACACAAGAAATGCTATGCCCAAGTGTTAAGTACTTCTTCGCATTCAGTGACCCAACTCAGTAGTTGGCATATCAAAGTAGTTCAAAGAACATTCACTGAACATTAAGAAAAAGCAAACTGATCTCATTCCTATGTACTAGGCACACTAGGAAATTATAAAAAGTAAAAGAGCTCATCTCCATTGAGTCAGTCAAATGAGAAGATGAGAACAAAGGTCCCTGAAATTATTCTGCTTAACTACTTCCTTGTTGATTCAAAGTAACCCAAGTGCTTTTCAGGGAAATCTATAGCACTTGTTGGCTACTACTACTACTGTTCACATAAGATGAAGGCAAACATTTTTGAAGTAATGACAACCTATTTCTACTAATGCTATTATAAGAAAAACAGTAGCTAGGCCTTTCTTCCTTCCAAATTAAAAGGCCATATTCTTTTTCTGTATATGACAAACTATAAAAAGCTAGCATTTTATTCAGCTTTAATTTCCTCAAGGGTCTGATATTCATTCTCAAAGTAGAGCTCAAATGTATTTTCTCTGCCTCCTATAATGCCAACTATGAGGTTAACAGAGCAGACTACTTCAATAAGGTAGCTCATCTACTTTTTTTGGTCAGAGCATGTGAAGGGGTAAGGTTGAAAATAATTTTTATTTCTGAATACAGTTCCATCATCCTTTGAGAATCAAATATTATCTCCTGAGATGGTGAAGTTGTGTTTCCAAGCTTTCAGGATCAGAAAGACAATTATGATCAAAATGCTAGGAAGCTGGCTTAGAATGTGATTCTTATATGAATTCCAGTGGGAAGGCAAACTATTCTTCATAAAACAATGTTATTTGTTTTATAAAGTGGTTTACGCCTGTAATCCCAGCACTTTGGAAGGCTGAGGCAGGTGGATCACAAGGTCAAGAGATTGAGACCATCCCGGCCAATATGGGGAAACCCCGCCTCTACTAAAAATACAAAAATTAGCTGGGCATGGTGGCACATGCCTGTAGGCCCAGCTACTCAGGAGGCTGAGGCAGGAGAATCACTTGATCCTGGGATGTGGAGGTTGCAGTGAGCAGAGATCTCACCCATGCACTCTGGCCTGGCAACAGAGTGAGACTCCATCTCAAAAAAAAAAAAAAAGAAAGAAAAGAAAAAAAAAAGAAAACAATGTTATTTGTATATTTAATCCAGTCATATAATACAGGAATAATTTTTGTGTGTGTGTGAGAGAAATGTCTTACTCTGTTGCCCAGCCTAGAGTGCAGTGACACAATCATAGCTCACTGTAGCCTTGACCTCTCAGGCTCAAGCGATCCTCACATCTCAACCTCCTGAGAAGCTGGGACCACAGGCACATGTCACTACGTTCAGCTAATTTTTTCATTTTTTTCTGTAGAGACAGCGTTTCGTCATGTAGCCCAGGCTAGTTTCAAACTCCTGGGCTCAAGGAATCCACCAGCCTCAGCCTCCTAAAGTACTGAGATTACAGGTGTGAACCACTGCGCCCAGCCCTCCTCCTCCCACCCCCCCAGTTCTTCTTCCCATTTTCTTGCTTTCTTTTAGAGACCTGGTTTCACCATGTTGGCCAGACTGGTCCCTAACTCCTGGCCTCAAGCAATCTTCCTTCCTTGGCCTCCAGAAGTGCTGAAATTACAAGCTGGGATTATAGGCACAAGCAACCGTGCCTAGTCAGAATACTTTTACTAACCAAAAAATGCCTATGTGTACATACATACATTCAAATATACACATACAGCATATATAAATGTAAATGTACAATATAAAATCAGAGTTTAAGCACAAGTAACCATTTTTAAAGTCCTCAAGTTATACATGGTTAGTTCCAAGTTTTTCCATTAATGTTAGTTTACTATTTATTATGTTACCTTCTATCAGTATTATCAGAAGTAGCAATTGTTTAAGACAATTTTATGATAGGGGAAGACAAAGAAATTACAGTATTTTTTTCATGCAAATGAGGAAAAAGTTGTTTTGCTTAATTGTAGCAAGCAAATACCTTAGTACAGAAATGGAAACCAGTACAGATTTGAGAATGTTTGCATTGGAAGAGGCTACTAGAGATGCCAAGCTCTAGGATACAGCTCTCTGGTGGTCTTTGCTCATTCACCCGTCTCTCTCTCCCATACAATTTGTATGCCTGGGACACAAGTCATTCTAGGATTATCTGAATAAACGAGTAGTGGGCTCTGTACAAAGACCACAGTAACTCACAAAGGTGGGTCACTGGTAATGAAAAACTGTACAAGGAAGTAGCTATTACTAAGAAGCAATCATTCATTCAACGAGTACTTATGTTGTACTGAGTGTCTAGCATATGCAAAACACTCTGGTAAGCCCTGGAAAGACACCAAGACCACTGAGACCTGGACCTTGCTCCCAGTGTGTTTATAGACAGACTTGTGGAAAGAATCAGCTGTTTTATGTAAATTCAAAGTGCTGGTGGTGAATCAACTGTATAATTACTACATATCAAGTGATTATTGTTAGGTGTTAAGCAAAGTGAATAAGTAAATAAAATTTATCATCCAGGATTAAAAGACTGAGAAATAAAGGAGAATGATTTGATCAAAGTTGTGACTACATAAGAAAAAATGTTCCCTGTGTTTCTTTCAAGCTTCAGAGGACTTCAGATAACCCACTCAAAGTTCTAATGCAATCAAAATTCCTCCTTTTTTTTCTTGGTGAATATTGTTTTTATTATTATTATTTCACTTTAAGTTCTGGGGTACATGTGCAGATCTTGCAGTATTGTTACATAGACATACACATGCCATGATGGTTTGCTGCCTCCATCCCCCCATTACCTACATTAGGTATTTCTCTTAATGTTATCCCTCCCCAATCTCCCCACCCCCTGCTAACCCTCCCCTAGCCCCTCACCCCACAACAGACCCCAGTGTGTGATGTTCCCCTCCTTGTGTCCATGTGTTCTCATTGTTTAATACCCATTTATGAGTGAGAGTATGGGGTGTTTGGTTTTCTGTTCTTGTGTCAGTTTGCTGAGAATGATGGTTTCCAGATTCATCCATGTCCTTGCAAAGGACATGAACTCATCCTTTTTTATGGCTGCATAGTATTCCATGGTGTATATCACAATCCCTTTTTGCTTTCAGAAGTAGTATACTGGCTGGGTGAAGTGGCTCATGCCTGTAATCCCAGCACTTTGGGAGGTCAAGGCAAGTGGATCGCTTGAATCAGGAGTTTGAGACCAGCCTGGTCAACATGGTGAAACCCCATCTCTACTAAAAATACAAAAACTAGCTGGCATGATGGCACCTATAGGTAATCCCAGTGACTCCGGAGGCTGAGGCTTGAACCTGGGAGGTAGAGGCTGCAGTGAACACAGATTGCACCACTGCACTGCAGCCTGGGCAACAGAGCAAGACTCTGTCTCAAACCAAATAAACAAGGAAAAACAGAAGTAGTATAGAAATACTTGGAATTTCAATGTAATTGAGATTTCTGCAATAAAACTGCCTTGTAATACTGATTCCTGCAATGTAAACAGAGTGAGAAACAAGATGAAGATGTGTAACTCTATTATTAATAAATTCCAGGCCAGGTGCTGTGGTTCATGCCTGTAATCCCAGCACTTTGGGAGGCTTTGGTGAGAGGATAGCTTGAACCCAGGAGTTTGAGACCAGCTTGGGCAACATAGTGAGACCTCATCTCTACAAAAATACAAATTTTTAAAAATAAATAAATTCCTGTAATTCTTAGCCTACAGACTATCAAATGACATTAATGAAGAGAGGTGGGTCAATATTTATTTCAGTATTAAGTGCTTTTAACTATCTCCTGCATCAAATCAAAACAAGTGTTATGTCGGTCCTCTGAAATTGTCTTTGATGAAGCATTTTTAGCTCAGATCTCATGGACAGACAAAGGACTCTAAACAGAGTCAACAAGGATACGATGGCACTTTTTCAGAAGGAAAGTACTATTAACCTTAATTCTTAAGCTAAAATTCAGCCTGATGCTGGAATTAATGTCTAGCTCCTTGTAACTTCTTTTGGCTACTTTACGTTTTATGTCCTGCTCCTAATTTCACATACCTATGATTTGATAAGTCATATATCCCACCAGAAAGATAAAGTAATTTCTTTTAAAACAGGGTCTTTATTACCCAAGCTGGAGAACAGAGCATGATCACAGCTCATAGATTTCAGTGAGCTGAGATCCTGGGCTCAAGTAATCCTCCTGCCTCAGCCTCCTGAGTAGCTGGGATTATAGCTGCATGCCACCATGCTGGGCTAATTTTTAAGTTTTCTGTAGAAATGGGGTCTTGCTATGTTGCCCAAGCTAGTCTTGAACTCTTGAGCTCAATCCCCACACCTCAACCTTTCAAAGGGCTGGGATTACAAAAGTAAGCCACTGTGCCTGGCTGAAGTAACATTTTATAGGATAGTTTGGGGAAAAGGATATGTTTAATGTTTTAAAACAAAGATAATGCTGACTTCCAGATTAGGATTTGTTCATACTTGCAGGGGTAAAAAGACCTCTACTCTTGTGCTGTGCCAACTAGTTTTAATCCAGAATAATTTTTTTTCAAATGCAAACCTCATCTGTCATTCTATTTCTTACCATTCAATAAGTTTGCATTTCCCACAGAATAAAGTCTCTAAAGTTTTAAATCCTCCCCATAGCTTACACCATCTAATTCCTACCAAATTCTCAACTTCGTATGTGCCACTCTCCCACTTACACACTATAGTCTATGCAGCCACACCACCTTTCTTTTAACTTCCCAAATTTTCCACTTTCTAATTTGGATAAGGGTCTTCTTCCCTCATGCTCTTCTTTCTCCTACTAGTTTCTTAATCTCAACCTATTCTTCGCTTAGCTAATATTTACTCATTCTTCTAGTGTCCAGGGAGGCTCACCCTAAACCTCCCCCCACCCCTGGTTATATGCTGTGGTAGCACTTTTGCACTTTTTCTTCTGTAGCAGTGATCATTCTTATAATTACTTGTTCAGTGTTGTTTTATTTCCCATCAGACTGTGAATTCCAGGACAGAGATCCCTTTGTTTTGTTCACTGTGTCCAATACTGGCATAGAAAAGGCACTCAATTATTTGTTGAATGAATGAACAAACAAATGGAGGTTCTATATAACTCTGGTCAGAATACAGACAGAAATTTAGTCTCAGTTCCATTCACTTCATTTTGGAGAATTCATGCCATCCTGCTTTCTGATGCATCCAGACTGCTTCTAGACTGCGCCCCTGCTTTCTGCTCCTCTTTGGCCAAAAGACTCCCATTTTATAAAATATTTTATAACACAACATTCATTTCCTTCTCCCAGAAACCTGTGATTAGCAAAGAGGAGGCCATCCTTAGGTCCTTACATATAGACTATGCTTCTAGAAATAAATAACTAGGTTTAGCAATATCGGCTAACTTCAACAATGATTAGAAAGTCAATTATTCCTGGTCAGGCACGGTGACTCATGTCTGTAATCCTAGCACTTTGGGAGGCCAAGATGGGCGAATCACAAGGTCAGGAGTTTGAGACCAGCTGGGCCAATATGGTGAAACCCCATCTCTACTAATAATACAATGATTAGCTAGGTACGGAGAGCTATGGGGAGAATTTAAACTATAGGCCTGTGCCTATAGTTCCAGCTACTTGGGATGCTGAGGTAGGAGAATCGCTTGAACCCAGGAGGTGGAGGTTGCAGTGAGCCGAGATCATACCACTGCACTCCAGCCTGGGTGACAGAGTGAAACTCCGTCTCAAAAGAAAAAAAAAGTCAATTATTCCAGTGTTGATTCTTCTGTTTTCAACTTAATAGGTATGTCATGAATTAGATGTACTTATCTTAAGAGTGGTTAATATATCAAATTAATATTTATCAAAGCTAAACAATTTATATGTTTTTTAATGGGGAAAAAAAATTAACATCTTTTTGCCATGTGAAAAATCCCTAATTAGGGACTGTGGAAAACATGCAAGGCTAAGAACATTTTAACAAATCTGACAAGCAGTCATGAGCATCCATCTCAAAGCTGGATGAGAGCTTTGAGCTAGGTCATATATACACATAAGTGGGTTTGTTGTTTCCATCTAGGAGGCTGCTTGGTATTGTCCAGGAGACCAAAGATTTTAATACCAGTCATAACCTATCATTTACTAATTGGACAAGTCACTTATGTCCTCTGAACCTCAAATTTTTCATCTGTAAAGTGTCCCACAAGGTAGTAAGATCATGAATGGCAAAGTCCTTTGTAAAGGAGAATATGGTCAGAAATGTAAGTCAATAATGATTATATTAGCAGGCTTATTTACTTTCTTCAACTAGAAACATACTTTTCTTCTGGACCCTGAGCAAATGGCTACAGATAGTTAGACATATAACAAGGACAGAACATTCTCTTTGGAGATACTGACCAAATCAAATATAGTCTCTATTTCAAATAACGACTTCACATTTGTCATTTGACTCTCTGTTCCACCGTGACTTTCAGAAAAGCAGATAAAATTTAGTACACAACTAAATATTATCAAAGACATAATTTCAAATAAAAATATTTTCAAATGATATATTTTCTATGGTTTTGAATAGAGTTTAAAGAAGGCTGGTGCAGGAACAGTGGCTAAGCGCTTTAGGAAGTCACAGACCCAACAAACTCTACTATTTTTTTCTAGGCACAATTCTGAGTTATAGTTACAAGAGTACACATGTCTAATAGCAGCTAGCTTTTTTTTTTTTTTTTTTTGGAGACAGGGTCTGGCTTTCTCACTCAGGCTGGAGTGCAGTGGCGCGATCATGGCTCACTGCAGCCTCGACCACCCAGACTCAAGCAATCCTCCCACCTCAGCTTCCAGAGTAGGTGGGACTACAGGCATGTGCCACCACACCGGGCCAAATTCTTAAAAATTTTCTCATACAGACAGGATCTTGCTATGTTGTCATGGCAAGGATGATCTCAAACTCCTGGGCTCAAGGGATCTTTCCACCTCAGCCTCTCAAAGTGCTAGTATTACAGGGCTGAGCCACCATGTCCAACCCTAACTTAATTCTTGATGGTAACATTGACAGTTCCTTCTACCTATAATTTGGGTTTTCTTAGGAACTGTAGGTCATCAATCATTGTACTCACAAGAGAGGTCTGCCTGATATCTTTATTTTGTTGAACAAGAGGAAAAAAAAGGGTTATTATTGGTCATTATTGGTAGCAGAAGGGAGGGAAATAAGATATAATCAAAGAACGTACTTACTCTTTGAGGTACCTGATAGTTCCAAAACAGCTTTATTCAACTTAGAAGAAACACATGAAGTTCTGAATACACAGTAGCAATAATCTGAGCCTAAAGAAATAGGAAAAATACTCCAAATTAACATAATCTCTAAAAACTCTGCTTGAATTCCCATGGATCAGAATAATTAGCAATCCCCTAAAACCAATAAAGTGTTATACTAAAAAGGGGGGACAGTAAGTTTTTTTATAAAGGCAGTTTAGCAGGGGTGCCGTGGCTACACCTGTAATCCCAACACTTCAAGAAGCTGAGGTGGGATGATCACTTGAGCAGGAGTTCAAGACCAGCCTGGCCAACATGGCAAAACCTTGTCTCTCCCAAAAATACAAAAATTAGCCAGGCATGGTGGCGCACACCTATAGTCCCAGCTACTTGGGAAGCTAAGGCACAAAAATTGCTTGAACCTGGGAGGTGGAAATTACAGTGAGTGATTACAGTGAGCTGAGATTGCACCACTGCACTCCAACCTGAGCAACAAAGGGAGACTCTGTCTCAACAAAAAAGAGAACGAGAGAGAGAGAGAGAGAGAGAGAGAGAGAGAGAATTAGCCAGGTATGGTGGTGCACACCTGTTGTCCCAGCTTCTTGGGAGGCTGACATAGGAGGATCACTTGAGCCCAGGAGTTTAAGGCCACAGTGAGCCATGATCATGCCACGGCACTCCAGCCTGGACAACATAGCAAGACTCTGCCTCAAATAATAAAAAAATAAAAATGAAAAGGCTGTTTATTCCTTAATTCATGCATTATATATGAGAAATATATAGAATACAGAAAAAATATGTAGAAATGGGAAAAACTCATTTTGTGACTTAAGAATATAGAAGAAATGAGGATGAAAAACACTTTGCTGTTTTGATTATTTATATGATTATTTATTGATTTATATGATTGATATTTAATGAATGTTTTACATCATTTTCACAACTACAGTGAAAGGATAAGGAAGGTGAGGAAAGACTGCCGTTGTCTTAGAAGTAAAAGAAATGTTATTTTACATTTTTAAAAAAGGACATTGACAGCAAAACCAGACAAAGTTGATCTGAATTCTGCATCCTGAAATTTGCAACTAGAATGCTTAAAAAAAAATTAGTTCCACCAATGGCTCAACCTACCATTTAAAGTTGCTTCTATATATCTACTTTCAACATTAGCTGCTACCTCTTCAAATACTATTTATCTCAAACAGGTCGGATGAGAATGGAAACTCATTATTATGTGCGCCTGAGAGTTTCCTGGATTGAGGCGTTCATCACTGGCCATATTACGATTATTATGTAGAATACTCTCTGCAACTGGCTGCTCCGAGATTTCAATCAAGCCCCCCCCCCCACGCCTCTCCGCCCCAAATGTTTCTTGACTTGGTATCAAGCATAATTGCTCACTCCAAAGTCAGAGGAAATAGTTTTACAATTAATAACACACAACAGAATCCTTGGGCAATCATTTTAAGTGAGGTCACCAGGTCTGACCTTTCCCTAACGTGGCTATGGGCCCCTTATAAAGCCGGGAACACACAACTGAGAGTAAAGCAAATCCAAGTTTCTAGGGTAATCCGCATCCCCCTCCGCCCCGCCCCCTCCCCTCCCCTCCCCTCCCCTCCCCTCCCCTCCCCTCCCCTCCCCTCCCCTCCCTCCTTTCGAACCCTGGGCTTAGCAATACCAGACCTGGCAGAAAGAAAAAAATGCCCTACTAGTTAGAGCCAAAGGAAAGAGACCGCAACAGTGACTGTTGACGCTCTGAGAGCTAGCCCATCCCTACAACACTGAGTGGGTTTAAACTGCAAGCAGGTCATCATTACACAACCAGCATCAGCTGGTTATTCAAAAATAGCAGCCTGGGCTCCTCCGCACACCGGAGCCAGCAAAGCTTCCAGCTCTTAACAGCTCCGGCAACACACGTCGACATTTCCATACTCCTGTGTACAAAATAATTTTGTAAAGCCTTACCAAATACTTACTCAATTTTCACATCCACAAATGTGGTCAGCGTTGTCCAATGCCCCGATTCCCCTGGATTTAGCTGTTTTACATAAAATCCTCAGTTACTTATGCAAAAGACCCAGAAATCGGAACATCTTGACCACACCTACCTGCTTCTCACACGCAGGGCATTTTACTCGCCCACACTGAGGAGCCTCTTGGAGCGTCTCCCTCTCAGCGTCTCAGGAAGTGCGTTACCAGCGAGGCACACCAGAGGCTTCTGGGAGCAGAGTCAGGTTCTCCCGTAGCCCAAAACGGCAATGCCCTGGATGTCTGGGACTACAATTCCCAGAATCCACTGGGCCTTTAACCGTAGGCAACATCCTGCGACCACCTCCTGCCTTTCCCTTTTTCCCCCTCCCCCTCCACCTCCTCGGGTTCCTTTTGAACCTTAGGTTCCGTCCAGATTGGGTTATCGGTTAAAGAAAAAACAAAACACACAAAAAAACGGCAAAACGAAACAAAACTAAGAGTAGTTTTGAGTTGCCCATAAGGTGATATGCCCGTAAGAAGGTTAGCAAAAATTCTTATATCTGAATTTTTTTTCCCTCAAAGTGTTCACCTAGGCACAAAAACGAAGAAAGCTCAGTCTAGAACCAAATAGCCCAGATTTGTATGGGGCTTTGCTGTGTATTGATTGGGTGGCCCCAAGCAAGTTACCTCTCTATATCTGGAGATTATCTGTAAAAATGGGGATAAGATCACCCACATCATACTGTTGTCTTGAAAATCGAGGGACATAATATAGCTAAAGTATAGAACATATAGCTAGCTATTCGATATTTGAACTAACTTGACTCTCCCACACAATTTTTACGGTCCTGCCTCTTTCTCGTCCTACATTAGTGAATGAATATCTGAATTAAAGGATTCCAAAGTCCTAAATAGCAACGATCTGATTTCTTAAAAAATAAAGGATGCTGAAGTGTTGTGATGGCTACTACTTCGAGATGATCACACACACACATACAAATGGATATGAAGTGTGCAAATATGTACAACTGTTGCATTCATGAAGAATACATATGTGGGCCTTTCTTGTACTATTCCTTCACATTCTCTGTATCTTTGAAGTTTTTCAAAATAAAAAGGAGAAAAGTATCTGAACAAAACCCCAGATTTAAGAATTTTTGCTAACCTTCTTATGAGCTAGTCACCTTCACTGGGGCACCTATCCAAAGTATAACCTTGGACAAGTAAGGTATCCCTCATGTAACAGTATATCTACAACAGGAAATTGAGACGAGGGTTAAATGAACTACTATAGAGACGGCTACAACAGTGTCTAACACACAGTAAGGACTACATGTTTGCTATTAGCATTTTCCATTTTGTGTTGCTCTAGTAACAATGAGGCTATTTGTCAGGTTTTTTTTTAAAGGGAGGGTGGAGAGGCTATTATCAGTTCACCGCTACTGCCTTCTTATGTGTGATACTGCTTTAGAGGATGGATAAGGTTATCTAAGGCCAGAAACTATCCGATCCCAAAGCCAAACTGGGAATTGTAATAATGAGGAAGAAAGATAGCATTGGGTAGTGAAAAGATTTCTGGGCTCCACGCCAGCTTTGGCAATAGCAGATGGATAATGGCAATGTGACAAAGGATAATCACTTATTTCCTCTGAACTTCAGTTCTCTCATCTATAAAGCTGAATTGAATCAAGTAACTATGTACAAAATCATTTTAAAACTTATTTCCTAATCATTGATGAATACTGCCTGATTAGAGGACTTTAGCTGGGAAGTACATGCAATTGATTACAGTAATTTTAAAAATCAGAGCACAAAAAGGAAGGAAAGACAACCCTATTCCAAGACTTACTGTTCAAGCTGGGGTCTAAAATGCCTGCCTCTGGAATAGCAAAGATGGAACAGAAAACTCAAAAACCCTGTTGGAGTTCAGTAGTTAGTTAATTGCAATATAATTCTCGAAAGTACTTTAGATAAGAATTTAGATCTGCAATGAACAATCCTGGCTTTTCTGTTTTTCTCATTAGAGATTCTTCAAGGAGAAAAGTCAACTCTTAAATTCACTGCAATATTCACCACCGAAATTCTACAGAGATTCCCATTTGGTCACTGTGTTAGTTTTCTACTACTGCTGTGACAAAGTATCACAAACTCAAAGGTATAAAACACAATAAATTTATTATCTTACAATTCTGGAAGTCAAAAGTCTGACACAGATCTCACCACTTAAATCAGGATGTCAGCAGGGCTCTTTTTTTTTCTTTCTTTCTTTACTGATGTTTAATAGATGTACATGATCATATAATACATTCACATAATATGTAAGATCTAATCAGTGTACTTGGGATATTCATCACTTTAAATATTTGTGTATTCTTTATCCTAAAACCATTTGAATTCTCTTCTAGCTATTTTGATATATACAGCACATAACTGTAAACTACAGTCACCATACTGATCTATCTAACATTAGTTCTCAGTTCTTCTATCAAACCATATATTTGTTCCTATCAATCAATTTCTTTTCAAATCCCTACTCCACCGTACCCTTCCCAATCTCAGATGACCACCAGCCTACTCCCTATTTTCACGAGATTCAATTTTTTATGTCCCACATAAGGGGATTCCCCTGACTGGTGCCTTTATTGTTAAGTGTTCTCCTCACCCTCACCTCACCTCCAGCTTCTTAATGAAGTAGGCCTTCATTTTCGTAACTTAAAAGGATATGGATCATTCCATAGATGTCTGTCTTCTAGCAATGCCTCTCACATTTCCTGTACATATAGGTCTCCAGCTTCAAGCTAGGAATAAATTAATTACTGAGTTGCAAATCTATGCTAAGCATATAAAACAATGACAGGGAAAAATTTATTTTAAATCTCATATTCAATCAAGTTAGTGTATTTCAAAGGTGCAATTCTTTTCTTCATTTATTAGTGAAAGAAGGTAGGAATTAATTTTCCCCCAAATCAGGAAATGAAAAATGTCTTTGAAAATAACAGTCACATATATAAAGAGGAAGGACAAGACAGGTTCCACGCACTTTCACGAGTGTCATCAAATAGTGGATCTTCAAGGGTAGAGAGAAAAGGCAACTTTCAAAAAGTAGTACATTATTAAATGAAGGATTTACTATACTCCTTCCTAAGAGCACCAGAATGAGAAGATGTTTTCTAAATGAAAGCTAAGAAGTGGAAGGTGAAACTAATCTGTCCTCCTCTACTTAAGGGCTGTACATTGGTTAATTAAAATAAACAAGACAAAAAATCAAACCCTACCCATACTCCCCCTCCCAAAAAAGAGGGAGAAAATCCCACTAAAATGTTCCAGATTACTCTCCAGCGTACAATCAGGGAGCAGTTTTAACAACTCAGATTAGTCTGTTACAGAGTCAACAGAGCATGCCTTGCTTTTAAACAATAAAATTAAATTAAAAACAAATTTTGGAATGATAAAAACTAATACTGATCACTTTTCTGACAATACACAATTACTCAAAATTAACTAGTATGGGGAGAGGGAAGGTGGGGATACCTACGGGCCTTGTCTCACATGAGTACATGTACACACATGCAGGGCATTTGTCATTATTGCAGAAATGAATTTTGATTTTTAATCTCTAGTTTGATAAACACTGCTTTTGGTATGAAGCCAATACCAGCTGGGCAGAAAAGGCTCTGGAAAGATGTTCATAGCAGCACACACTTGCAGCTCCTTTTCAGTTCTGAAGGCTCTAGAGCAGCCAATATTGCTTCATAAAATACATTCTTTTGGCCTAATTTTCAGTTTCACTCCAATGTTTCTTCATTGATTTTCTGTCTGGATGATCTGTTCATTACTCAGTGTGGGACGTTCCAGTCCCCTACCATTATTGTATTCTTGTCTATCTCTCCCTTTAGATCTATTAATGTTTGCTTTATATATTTAGGACCTCCAGTGTTGGGTGCATAGATATTTGTAATGTTATATCCTCTTGCTGAATTTGCTTCTTTATCATTATATAGTGACCTTCTATGCCTTTTTTCAGTCTTTGATTTGTAGTCAATTTTATCTGATTCAAGTATAGCTACTACTCCTGTTCTTTTTTGGTTTCCAGCTGCATGGAATATCTTTTTCCACCCCATCACTTTTACCATATGTGTCCTTACAGGTGAAGTGGTAGGATATAGTTGGGCTTTGTTTCATATCTATTCAGCTACTCCATGCCTTTTCATTGGAAAATTCAATCTATTTGCATTCAGAGTAATTACTGGTAAGTACTGCCATTTGGTTGCTTGTTTTCTGGATATTTTGTAACTCCTTTCTTTCTTCCTGTCTTCCATTATGATTAAATAATTTTCTCTCATACTGTTTTAATTAGGTGCTTTTCATTTTTAATGAATCTACTATGGGTTTTTGTGATTACCATGAGGCTTACAAAAAATATTAAAGAGAGACAACTTAGATCACAAAAATAGTAAAACAACAAAAAAAAAGGATTTTATTTCTCCTTCACTTATGAAATCACAAGGGGTGAAGTTGAGGCAGCAGTTAATAGCCTACCAACCAAAAAAAGCCCAGGTCCAGATGAGTTCACAGCCAAATCTACCAGACAAACAAAGAGGAACTGGTACCACTCCTGAAACTATTCCAAATAATCCAAAAAGAGGGAAACCTTCCCAAATCATTCTATGAGACCAACATCATCCTGATACCAAAACCCAGTGGAGACTCAAGAAAAAAACAAAACTTCAGGCCAATATCCATGATGAACATAGATGCAAAAATCTTCAATAAAATACTGGCAAACTGATTGCAAAAGCACATCAAAAACCTTATCCATCACGATCAAGCAGGCTTCATCCCGGGGATGCAAGGCTGATTCAACGTACGCAAGACTACAAACGTAATCCACCACATAAACAGAACCAAAGACAAAAACCACATGATTATCTCAATTGATGCAGAGGAGGCCTTTGACAAAATTCAACAGCCCTTTATGCTAAAAACTCTCAACAAACTAGGTATTGATGAAACATATCTCAAAATAATAAAAGCTATTTATGAAAAATCCACAGCCAATATCATACTGAATGGGCAAAAACTGGAAGCATTCACTTTGAAATCTGGCACTAGACAAGGATGCCCTCTCTCACCACTCCTATTCAATATAGTATTGGAAGTTATAGCCAGAGCAATGAGGCAAGAAAAAGAAATAAAGGATATTCAAATAGGAAAGGAGGAAGTCAAATTGTCTCGAGCTGCAGACGATATGATTGTATATTTAGAAGACTATCGTCTTAGCCCAAAATCTCCTGAAACTGATAAGCAACTTCAGCAAAGTCTCAGGATACAAAATCAATGTGCAAAAACCACAAGCATTCCTATACACCAATAATAGACTTAAAAAGAGCCAAATCAAGAACGAACTGCCATTAACAATTGCTACAAAGAGAATAAAATACCTAGGAATACAACTAACAAAGGATGTAAAGGACCTCTTCAAGGAGAACTACAAACCACTGCTCAATGAAATAAGAGAGGACACAAACAGATGGAAAAACATTCCATACTCATGGTTAGGAAGAATCAATATTGTGAAAATGGCCATACTGCCCAAAGTAATTTATATATTCCACACTATCCCCATCAAGCTACCTATGACCCTTTTCACAGAACTGGAAAAAACCACCTTAAACTTCATATGGAACCAAGAGCGCCCGCATAGCCAAGACAATTCTAAGGAAAAAGAACAAAGCTGGAGGCATCACACTACCTGACTTCAAACTACACTACAAGGCTACAGTAATCAAAACAGCATGGTACTGGTACCAGTACCAAAACAGAGATGTTGACCAATGGAACAGAACAGAGGCCTCGGAAGCAACGCCGCACATCTAAACCATCTGATCTTTGACAAACCTGATAAAATCAAGCAATGGGGAAAGGATTCCCTGTTTAATAGATGGTGTTGGGAAAACTGGCTAGCCATGTGCAGAAAGTAGAAACTGGACCCCTTCCTGACACCTTACACTAAAAGTAACTCCAGATGGATTAAAGACCTAAACATAAGACCTAACACCATAAAAACCCTAGAAGAAAACCTAGGTAAAACCATTTAGGACATAAGCATAGGCAAGGACTTCATCACTAAAACACCAAAAGCATTGGCAAGAAAAGCCAAAATAGACAAACAAATCTAATTCAACTGCAGAGCTTCCATAAAGCAAAAGAAACAATCATTAGAGTGAACCAGCAACCAACAGAATGGGGAAAATGTTTACAATCTACCCATCTGACAAAGGGCTGATATTCAGAGTCTACAACGAACTAAAACAGATTTACAAAAACAAACAAACAAACCCATTCAAAAGTGGGCAAAGGCTATGAACAGACACTTTACAAAAGAAGACATATATCAGGCCAACAAACATATGAAAAAATGCTCATCATCACTGGTCATTAGAAGAATGCAAATCAAAACTACATTGAGATACCACCTCACGCCAGTTAGAATGGCGATCATTAAAAAATCTGGAGACAGCAGATGCTGGAGAGGATGTGGAGAAATAGGAACATGGTCACACTGCTGGTGGGAGTGTAAATTAGTTCAACCACACTGTAATTAATTGAACTAATTAGTTACCACACTGTGGAAGACAGTGTGGTAATTCCTCAAGGACCTATAAATAGAAATTCCATTTGACCCAGTAATCCCATTACTGGGTATATATCCAAAGGATTATAAATCATTCTATTATAAAGACACATGCACACATATGTTCCCTGTGGCACTGTTTACAATAGCAAAGACCTGGAACCAACCCAAATGGCCATCAATGATAGACTGGATAAGGAAACTGTGGCACATACACACCATGGAATACTATGCAGCCATAAAAAACAATGAGTTTGTGTCCTTTGTAGGGACATGGATGAATCTGGAAACCATCATTCTCAGCAAACTGACACAAGAACAGAATATCAAACACCGCATATTCTCACTCATAGGCAGGTGCTGAACAATGAGAACATATGGACACAGGAAGGCCCCAAATCACCAGAAGCTAGGTGAGAAGCATGAAACGGATTCTCTTTTATTGTCCTCAGATGCAATCAGCCCTGCCAACACCTTGATCTTGGAGTTCCAGGCTCAAGAACTGTGAGGTAATAGATTTCTGTTGTTTAAGCCACCCAGTGTATTATACTTTGTTACAGCAGCCCTAGTGAAGTAATAAAGGAAGAGAAGAAGGTTCTAAGTAAATTAAACAGTGAGATGTCATTTACAAACTGTTAGAAATTTGTAGTGCACCATCAAATTTGATAGCACATTTGCTTCTAATATTCTTGAATAAAGCTACTTAGTGAAGACAGGGAAGGAAGGAGAGAGAGAAGAGGATTTACAAAAGATTGGCCAACAAATAGGGTAACAAAAGGCTTTTGCCTGTAGCTACAATATTAAGGTGTTTTAAATTTTTGTCTCTTACCATGCCTACCACTCCCTCCTACCATCATCACTTTTTTTTTTTTTTGCAGTTTTAAATAACTCAATAAACTCAACTTTTGTGTTGAGTATTTGATGAGGTATTACAAACTTGGATTTACTGTAGTCCTCCCTTCCCCCCATCCTCAGTTCCAGTTACTTACACTCAACTGTAGTCCAAAAATATTAAATGGAAAAGTTTAGAAATATACACTATTCTAAATAACATGAGGAAATCTCATTCCATCTTGCCAGATGAATCATCTCTTCATCCAGTGCATCCATACTGTATATGCTACCCTCCCATTCGCCATGGATAGATATCATCTGCTCCTGACATCATGATCCAGGATCACCCAAAACAAAAGATTTTCCTGATGCATTGTCAGAAGGTGAGCAGTAGCCTAACCCTAGGTATGTCACAATGCCTATGTCATTTGCTTCACATCATCTTATCATGTAGGCATTCTATCTCACATAATCAGGAGTACAGTACAGTAAGATATTTCGAGAGGGAGACCACATTAATGCAGCTTTTGGTATAATATATTGCTATAATTGGTCCAATTTAATATTTTTAATCTCTTACTGTGCCTAATTAAAAAATTAAACTTTATCATAGGTGTGGTATAGAAAAAACATATAAAGCATTGGTATTATCCAAGGTTTTAGGCATCCCTTCACCCCATCCTCAGTTTCAGTTACTTACAGTCAACTGAGGTCCAAAAATATAAATGGAAAAATTCAGCAATACATGCTATACACTAACATAAGGAGATCATGGGGGAGTTTTCTGGTTCATGTTTTCATAGGAAAGGAAGGTCATGTGTGCTCATTTTATTGTTCTTACAATTTCTCTTGACCCCAGATTAGTACCACTACCTGGAAAGATTTGTTTTTGAAACAGATGTTCAATTTTTATCTAGTCCTCTTATTTCCCCATTATAATTCACTTGACTAGGGGCTTTTATTTGTCATTTAATCATGTTTCAAATCCATCCAGTCATAAGCTTTTACTCAATGTCTGCCGTTGATTTAAAAGATTCTCAATCTCCCTCAATTTGTAGCACACAAAACTGAAGGTATATTTTAGCTTATAATCGTGTCTTTTGTCTTGAGAAAATTATACCACAGTCTTCTTAAAGCCTTTTATATAGAAATAATACCAACAATAATGTTTGATAACCAATTTAAAAAATGAAAGTACTGATCAGAAGATATTGGCAATTTCAGAAAAATATACTGGAATATAGGCCATAAACAAAGGAAGCTTTTGTCCTTTGCTTTCAACTTTCAATGCACTCAGAATTTACAAAATAAATAGGAAAAGACTATCTTGCCATATATTGCTCACAAATTAGTTATAACATAAGCTACGTGTCCTGTTCTTTAAATTCCAAGTATTTCAAAGGACAAGACTTGAATAACAGCTATGCTTCACATAGCTTGGTATCTTATCTGGACATCCCAAAGAATTTCTATTATAAGCACATCAATAATATATGCAAAAGTGATTACTTTCTCTGATATCTTCCAGGTACCCAACAACTATTAAGAACATTTTTTAAAAATTCTAACAAATTGCCTAAAATTTGTGGTTGATGATGGTCAGAAATGGTAGTTGAAATTGCCCCTGGCTTTTTCATGCTTACAACGGCCAACTGAGGCAATAACCACACCTGATACTTCAGATATCCACAGAGACATACAACTTCCCAGCATCCATATTTTTCTTTCTTCCCTCTCTCCCTTTCTCATTTCTACTACCTTTTTTTTGCTTTCTTTTTCAGCTGGCTACTGACATCCACTCAGAACTAAAGCTATTTCCCTAATACTTTTCCCTACTTGCCAAGCTCCAAGTAGAAAACAGAAAACTAGCTGGGCATGAATGGCTCATGCCAATAATCCCAGCAATTTCAGAGGCTGAAGTAGGAGCATTGCATGAGGCCAGGAGTTCAAGATCACTCTGGGCAACAAAGTGAGACCCTGTCTCTACAAAATAATCTTAAAAAATTAGCCAGGTATGGAGGCACACCTATAGTCCCAGCTACTTGGAAGAAGGAGGCAGGAGGATAACTTGAGCCCAGGAGATTGAGGCTACAGAGAACTATAATCATGCCACTGTACTCCAGAGAGATACCCTGTCTCTAAAAAGAATAAAAAATCAAACTAAACATAAAATAGATGTGAAATATCTCTTTAAGAAAAAAAGATATTTTTCACTACTTAACTTTGCAATTAAAATTATGTATGTTATCTGCCAACATTTTTTGTCCACTGTTTATCTCAGTAATTCCTGAGTTATAAACTTTGATAAGGAATAGACTTTTTTTTATAAATGTCTTTTAAAAAATTACCAAATACTTTAGGCTCCCAAGAGTTCAAAAAACAACTCATGTATTCACCACCCAACTTAAAAAAATGACATGGCTTGCAGGCAATACAGTGTAGTGTTTAAATAAGTTAACATATGTGATACTCAGTACAGTACCCAGCATATGGTAACATTACCACTTTAGATATGATTACTAACACAGACCTTGTACTCAAACAAGATTTCTGGATTTGTTTCACTTTTTATTCTTTACCAAGAGACAGATTTAAACCAAATTTGAGATACTGTTAAGGATTTAAAGATAGGCATTAAATTCAATTCACTATTTGGTCTTTAAACAAAATGCTGTCATATTTTTACAATAAAATATCTTTTGTGTAGGTTTACAAGTTACGTTATTGCTAATTTTCATTTTTAAGCTACAGTTTCAAAGTGTACTTATTCTGTTGCTTTGGAACATTATTTTTAATATACCTTAATACACTGCAAATTTCTAGATGGGATTTGTGAAACTGGGTTTTCAATCTGAATTTTGCAAACACTGTGAAATTGCTTGGAAAATATTTTAAGTGTTTATGTACATTTTTTGGCAAGAAAAGTCTGTAGCTTTCATTAACTACTGAAAGGAATCTCTAATCTCCATCTTTGAGAAGCAAATAACACTGAGATGAAAGAAAATACATAACTTTACAAGAAAACTAATTGGATAAAACCTGAAATATCCTTAACCTAATTTTTCCCATTAAAAAAGATGACTTTTTTCCTGATTATGTAACTAATACATGTTTACCATTTTTAAAAAAGTTCATCTTGCTATGACATACAATAATATGAATATATAACACAAAAAGCACAATATAATAGGTATTCTGGAAATTTTCAGTACGCAGATCCAACTTCATAGTACAATATCCTTAATATTATATGAACTTGCATTTCATAATGATAAATAAATCTGATAAAGAAAGCTCTGCAGAACTATTGGGACTTTGTAAGAATTTGCTATACATTGAATTTAATATTCTAGTTATTCAGTAATAAAGCATTTCAAAAAGCATATATTTTGAAAATTACATTTTAAAAGGTAAAAATAAAAAGTCTCACTTAATGACAAACTAAAATGCATCTGAGATAATGTTAAAAGACTTACTTCAAAATAAGTCTTTATGTTTTCAAATTTTGTATAAGATAAAAAAGGAATCTAATTTTCTCGGTCAGAATAAAGATCAAAGGTCAAAAAAGGTACATAGAGTATACCTGCAGTAACCAGAAAATACTAATTAATTGAACATTTTAGTGAGTCATGTAATAAAATGCTTTGGTTAGTCCTGGAGTGGCACCCTGGGCATTACTGACAGAGCAAATAATCCTGAACACACATCTACTACCCTTTGCCACAGCACTAAGCAAGATCATGGTGCCAGTATTTCCGACATTCACCTGATGAAACTGTCCTTACACTGCTACTTGTTTACATTTAGAAAATAACAGAGCTTAAAAAAAATAGCACTGAAGTTACAAATGTAAAACATACCGAATACAAAGCCTGGTCACTGTCATCAGCACAAATTCCAAATGCTTTTCCTCATTTTTATTCTTTTGTTGTGAAGAAATGAGTCCATTCCAATCCCCTGCAGTTTCTGTTATCAAATGTGAGATATACAAGGGCAGAAGGTCCTGTCTGTTCTCTTCAACATTGGTACATACAGCACCCTGCACAGTGTCTGCTACAGGAGAGACACTCAATAAATTCATGAGCAATGAAGAAAAAAGAAATACAAAATAAGCATTTGGGGACTGAAATGGGAGGTAGGAGAAACAGGCAACAAAACAAATATAAGTAAAATAATACTGGAAAACATTATCAAATCAGAAAAAAATTTAAGCTGAGAACAATACATAAACTATGAATAGTCTATCTGCTGGTGTCTGTTATAACTTTATTATCATTAAATGTGTTAAAATTTAGGGTTTTAAGGTATCCACAAAAGAGAACCATTATATATTTAGTGCAACCAGGTACAAGATAGGCTCAAAAACAAACAAAACTGAATTGCTCATTCTAATAATAATCTAAAGAACACTTCTATATAAATTTTTTAAATGATCTCAATAGGGACATCCTACATAAAGGAATATCAGAGAATATTATAGGTGGACTGGCCATAAACTTGTAAAACATAATTTTTAGCTCTTACTTTGTTTTTCTTTTTTTTGAGATGGAGTCTAGTTCTGTTACCCAGGCGGGAGTGCAGTGGGGCAATCTCAGACTCACTGTATTCTCATCCTCCTGCGTTCAAGCAATTCTCCTGCCTCAGCCTCCAGAGTAGCTGGGACTACAACAGGCATGCACCACAACACCCAGCCAATTTTTCATATTTTTAGTAGAGACGGGGTTTCACCATGCTGGCCAGGCTGGTCTTGAACTCCTGATCTCAAGTGATCTGCCCTCCTTGGCCTCCCAAAGTGCTAGGATTACAGGCATGATCCTCCATGCCTGGCCATTAGTTACTTTTTTTTACTGTTGACATACTTAGCTACCAAACAAGGTACGGTTCTTGAACAAAAACACATATCAGAAGGTAATAATACTAAAAAAAGATCTGTGAAAAAGCTTTCAAAAAAAAAGTTAAAATTTTAAAAATCACATAGAAAAAATATGGATTTATGTATAACATGTTTTGAAATATCTATACATTGTGGAATGGTGCAATATAGCTATTAACATGGGCATTACCTTATATGCTTTTTTGGAAAAACCACTGGTCAAGAGATTGAGACCACCCTGGTCAACATGGTGAAACCCCATCTCCACTAAATATACAAAAATTAGCTGGGCATGGTGGCGTGTGCCTGTAGTCCCAGCTACTCAGGAGGCTGAGGCAGGAGAATTGCTTGAACCCAGCGGGCAGAGGTTGTGGTTGGCCAAGATTGCACCATTGCACTCCAGCCTGGGTAACAAGAGCGAAAGTCCATCTCAAAAAAAAAAAATTTTTTTACTCAGAAATACACCTAATAGTCAACAAGCTGTACAACAGATCTCTTGAAATCAGTTGCCTTGTCTAACAAATTTTATATACTTTGACCAACATCTCCTCAACCTTCCACTCCACAACCAGCCCTTGATAACCACCATTCTATTCTCTGCTTCTATGAATTCAACTTTTTAAGATTCCATATACAAGTGAGATTATGCAGTATTTGCCTTTCTAAGCCTGGCTTATTTTACTGAACATGTCCTCCAGGTTTATCCATGTCACAGACGAAAGGATTTCCTTGTTTTTAAGCATTAAATAGCATTCCATCAATATCATTTTTAATATATTTAAATTATATTCACTTTGGAACTAGTAACAGCATGCTTTGCTGATGGTGGCTCACTTGAAGATACTTTATCAGAAATCCACAAATTAAGCAACTGTTTCTTATGATATGCATCATTTTCCTGGTTGGCCTGTTCATCCAGTGACTTTCTTATACAGTTCTTTAATTCTTCAATTCCTTCTCCAGTAACTGCAGATATGGGGATGATATGTTGAAACTCTACAGTCCTCTCTGGAATCATGTTTTTTCCAAATAAATGCAGAAAATCTAAAAGAAGGAACACAAAGCTAAGCTGATTTCCATTGTTTTTAAAAGTAAGTTAAAACTGTGTTAATGGTTTGATTTGTGACGCAGAGAACCAAAAACTTAGCATTTTTTCATGTCTTTTTGTCCCTTTTCTCTCAAACTCTCAGAGCTTTTAGATTTTACTATTGATTATGGTAAGGTGCTTGGCACATAATATACTTGTTAGATGAATATATTTTAAACCAAACTAAGTATTAGTAGAAGATGAATCACAAAAATGTCTTAAGGAAGTAATAAATTTTGTTTGAGGGGGTTAAATACGGCAAGGAAGCACTGATTCTCTGAAAGATACTTTCTGTAAAAATAATAACATCATTTATAATTTGAGACATTCTACTTGGCCTCAGTATGCTAGAGACCTTTAACTTCCCAAAAGTATAGGTTTATCATATGATCCTAGGATCCATACTAAAACTGAAGAGGGATTATAGAGCATTCAAGGGAAGATAATTTCACATGAGTCGGCTAACAACTGTTATATAATTTTTACCTCTTTCCTGTCACTGTGGCATACTGATTGGCTGGAGAGATGGCAGCGGCCAATTGGATGGGTTAACTGATATGAACTAGGTAATAACACTAAAAAAAAGATCTGTGAAAAAGCTTTCAAAATAAAAAATTTAAATATAATTTTAAAAAATGACATAAAAAACTATGGCTTTATCATATGTAACATGTTTTAAAATATCTATACATTGTTGAATGGCTCAATATAGCTTATTAACATGTGCATTACCTTACAGTCTGGACTGAAACAGCCTGGAAAAGACAACATGGAGCTTGCTTTCTGAGATTCAAAGCCCCCAACAAAGTCCAGAGAGGCTAACTCAGGATTATCACTAAAGGGCCTATATTTTATTCCATGATAGGTCAGAATAGCTACAGACTCCTGAGTCACCCTCACTTTTGGTACTTACTTTGAAAATTCCTTCTCTGCAAGATCAACTAGCAAACAGAATTAATGACCTTATAAAGCATATGATATTAGGAATAAAGACTATTTAGTATCAGGGAATATTTATATCCCATGAGTCATTTATTAACTCCAGGACAGCTCCATCATGTAAACTATACAAGGGAAAGATTTTTGAGAGGAAAGGACCTCTGGTGCTGTTTGATAGTCTTAGTATACTATAATATGCTGTCCCTCAATTGTTACCAAAAATAAAAACAGAGACACAGTATTACTGAAAAACATGTTATCCACATATCATATGCCCTCCTCTTCCTCATTTGTGCATGAGGTTCTCTACTGGACTGAATGAAATCATCACTGCCATAGGATAGACAGTGTTCTGCAAATGTCAATATTCAAAACCATGGAGAATCCCTTTAAGTTACTTTACACACAGTCCAAGAGGTAAATTTCAGACAAATAAATCATTTTGGAGTCATAGCTTCTATTTTTCTATGTCACACATACACAGAAAAAATGTTCTTTTCAGAAGACTCATCCTCTTCAGAAACCTATAGAGTTAGTTTTGCAAAGAAACATACTTCTTTAGAACTTGTTACTTCTGTTTATAATTTTATGATGTACAGTACTAGGGGAATGAAGAGCTTGTGAAGTATGTTAATTAAAGTGAAAAACTTCACAGGTAGCTGCTGACTTTTTCCTTCTTTTATTCAAATCCCACATATGCTTTATGGGCCCAATTTAAGTTTTACTTCTTCAAAAAGCCTGACCTTTTTAGTCAAAATTCGTCTTTTTTTTCTTTTGTCTCCTTTAATTTACTGTCCATATCAAACATTCTGGAATTTGGTAATTATTATGTTACAATGTTATTTACATGTTTTGTATATTTTCTCTTCAAATGTGACTTTTAAGAGAAGAAACTGTCAGTCTTCTTTTCCACTGATGATAACAGCATTCTCTGTACATTGTAATTATTCATTAAATTAGAATTAAATGAATAAATAGGTTTACCTTTAGGATTCTGGAGCTGGTTCATCAATTCATGGAGCTTATCTTGAGCATCTGGCAAGTCCATTTTATTAACTGCCAAAAGTGCAGGTTTTGTCTGAAGCTCCTCTTTGTACAATTCCAACTCCTTTAAATCAAAAGAGAAAACCCAGTAATTTTATTACTGGTTTCTGTATAAACTTATTTGGTAGGTAATGATCTCGGTGATCTAAAAGCCCATTCACACCACTGAAATGCAATAAATCCCTACAACAGAAAACTATAGGAAGAATTTCAGAAAATGATTCTGGTTAGGTCATGTGTTAGTATGTTTTAGCTGAAATGACATCCTAGAGACAGTTGTAATTTTGCATCTAGCGTCAAATATGGGTATCTGGACTTCACATACATAAAATTCGGAAGTCAATAATGATCATTTAATGTTGTACTTGTAGTATTCTTAAAAAGTAAATATACCTAGGAGCACATCTTTATCACCTTGGATTAGACAACTGTTTCTTAGATATGACATGAAAAGCACAAGTAAAAGAACAGATAAAAGGCAGAAGACTGCTGAAGGCCACCAGGAGTTTGAAGCTACAATGAGCTACAATCACACCTGCACTCTAGCCTACATGACAGAATGAGACTCTGTTTGTATTAAAGATAAATAAATTCGTAAGACTGGGCAGGGTGGCTCATGCCTGTAATCTCAGCACTTTAAGAGGCTGAGGTAGGAGGATCACTTGAATCCAGGAGTTCAAGACAAGCTTCAACAACAGAGCAAGACCCCATCTCTACAAAAAAATTTTAATTTAAGAAAAGGAGGCTGGGTGTAGTGGCTCACATCTGTAATCCCAACACTTTGGGAGGCCAAGGCAGGCAGATCACGAGGTCAAGAGATCAAGACCATCCTGGCCAACATGGTAAAACCCCGTCTCTACTAAAAATACAAAAATTAGCAAGGCGTGGTGGCGTGCGCCTATTTGTCCCAGTTACTCAGGAGGCTGAGGCAGGAGAATTGCTTGAACCTGGGAGGCAGAGATTGCAGTGAGCTGAGATCGCGTCACTGCACTCCAGCCTGGCCCCTAGCAACAGAGCAAGACTCTGTCTCAAAATAAATAAATAAAATAAAATAAAATAAAAGAATGAAACAAATGGAATCTCATCAAAATTAAAAATTTTGGGTTGTTTTCTTGCTATTGAGTTGTTCTGACTCCTTATGTTTTGGGTATCAACCACTTATCAGATATATGATTTACAAATATTTTCCCCCGGTCCCTTGGTTGCCTCTTCACTCTGCTGATTCTTCCTTTTGCTGTGCAGAAGCTTTTTAGTTTGATGCAATCCTACTTGTCTATTTTTCCTTTTGTTGCCTGTGCTTTGGGGTCATATTAAAAAAAATTGCTCAGACAAATGTCATGGAACTTTTCCTCTGTTTTCTTCTAGTGGTTTTATGGTTTCCGGCTTTGAATTTAAGTCTTTAATCACCTTTGAACTGATTTTTTACATGGTGTGAAATAAGGGTCTAATTTCATTTTTCTGCATGTGGATATTCAGTTTTCTCAATACCACTTACTGAAGAAGAAAATTTTCCTTTCCTTATTGTGTGTTCTAAGTGCCTTTGTTGAAAATTAACTGTAAATACATGGATTTATTTCTCAGCTCTGGATTGTGTTCTTGGTTTATGTGTCTGTTATTGTGTCAGTACCAGACTGTTTTGATTATTAGCTTAGTAGTAGGTTTTGAAATTAGGTAGCGGGAAGCTTCCAGCTTTGTTCTTTTTGCTCAAGACTGTTTTGGCTATTCAAGGTCTTTTGTGGTTCCATACAAATTTTAGAATTTTTTTTTTTTTCTGTGAAAAATGCCATTAGAATTTTGATACAGATTGTGCTAAATTGTAGATCACTTTGGGTAATATAAACCTTATTTTAAAAATGGATAAAGGACCTGAATAGACATTTCTCAATGACATTCAAATGACCAATATGTGCATGAAAAAGTGTTCAACATCAGTAACCATTAGGGAAATGAAAAGGAAAACCACAATGAAATAGCTCCTCACACTTGGAACAATGGCTATTATAAAAAAGACAAAAGATAACAAGTATTGTCGAGGATATGGAGAGAGAGGGACCCTCGAACACCATTGGGTGGGAATGTAAATTAGTACAGCTATTATAAAAAGTGGCATGAATTTATCAAAACCTCAAAAATAGAACTACCATATGATCCAGCAATCCCACTTCTGGGTAAATATCCAAACAAAATAAAATCAGTATGTCAGATATCTGCACTCCCATTTTTACTGAAGCATTATTCATAACAGTCACAACATGGAATCAAACTAAATGTCCATCAATGGATGAATAATGACAATGTGACACACACACACACACACACACACACAAAACTGAATACCATTCAGCCTTAAAAAAAGAAAATCTTGTCACAACAACATGGATCAACCTGGAGACCACTATACTTAGTGAAATAAGCCAGGCACAGAAAAACAAATACTGCATAATTCCACTTATATGTTGAATCTTAAAAGGTTCAATTCATAGAAGCAAGGAAAATGGTGGTTGCCAGGTGCTTGTGAAAGGAAGGATGGAGTGGTGTTGGTCAAAGGGAACAAAGATTCAGTTAAATAGGATGAATAAGTTCTGGAGATCTATTGTACAGTATAGTGACTATAATTAATGTATTATTATTTGAAAATTGCTGTAACAGTAGATCTTAAATGTTCTCAACACAAAAGAAATAACGTGTAAGATGATAGATCGTGTTAATTAGCTTGATTTAATCATTTTACAATGTATACATATATCCAAACATCACTTGTGCACTTTAAGTACACACAATTTTTATACCAATTACACTTTAATAAAACTGGAAAATTAAATAAATAAAAGTTTTGTGCCACAAAGAACACATAAAAAGTACACTGAAAAAGTGAAAAGACAAGTCACAGAAGGGGAGAAAATATTTTCAAATCATTTATCTTAGAAGGGACTTACATCTGGTGGCTGATGCCTGTAATCCCAGCACTTTGGAATGCTGAGGCACGCAAATCACCTGAGGTCAGGAGTTCAAGACCAGCCTGGCCAAGATGGTGAAACCCCATCGTTCCTAGAAATATAAAAATTAGCCTGGCATGGTGGCACATGCTTGTAATCTCAGCAATTCAGGAGGCTGAGGCTGGAGATTCACTTGAATCCAGGAGGTGGAGGTTGCAGTGAGCTGAGATCTTGCCACTGCACTCCAGCCCACATGACAGAGTGAGACTTCAGCCCAGATGACAGAGCGAGATTCAGTCTCAAAAAAACAAAAAAAAGGGAGAGATTTCCAAGATGGCGCAGTAGGAACAACTCAGGATTGCAGCTCTCAGTGAAGGCGCAGAGGGTGAGACCTAGCCGCATTTCCAGACAGACCTTTGTTGCCCACAGACCGGGGAAATTCCCAGGTGTAGGAGAGACACAGGATGCCAGCGCAGCCCTTTCGGCTTGCGTGGCTGTTTCCGCCAGCGCCACAGTGCAGCGGCACCCCACACAAAACGCACTGGTCTGGGTGCCCTGTTAAACTGGCAATCTGAGATTTGGGAGGGCAGATTATCCATCTGATTAAACGGGACTCGGACAGTGAGCCAAACCAGGAGATTCCCGGGAAGCAACATTTGAGCCGGTGCAGTGGGTCGCTGCACGGGAAATCACACAGATCCCGGTGCCCTTTCGGCACGCGACTGAAACACCTGGGAGAGAGTCAACCGTTCAACTTAAAAAAAAGAGAGAAAAAGGGCTTTGAGGCAGGGAGCCAGGTGATCAGGCTCGGCGGGTCCCACCCCACAGGGACAAAAAAAAACGGCGATTCGAAACGCTCGTGGTTGAGAGTTTCACTGTGGGCACAGCTGAATCCAGGATGGTGCAGCTAAGTGGGGGAGGGGCGTCCACCACTACCAAGGTGTTCCGCCCCTACAGAGGTACACTCCCATTGCTGATGCAGCCTGCTGTTGTGAGGCAACCCACCATAACAGAGACACTCCGCCAATAGGGCGGAGCCCATGACAGCAGGGCAGAGCCCAGGCAACAGGGCAGAGTCCACAACAGTAGGGCGGAGTCCACAGCAGCAGGGCAGAGCCCACGACAACAGGGCAGACCCCCCGGTAGCAGGGTGGAGCCTTGGCAGGCAAACAGTGACTAGACTGCCTCCTAGCTAAGCAGGACAGTGCAACAGATACTCATTAAGAAAGCCCTAACTCCCTGAGACAGAAAATCTGAGGGAAAAAAAAAGGGGTTTTATAAGTTCTGCAGCAGACCTAAACGCACCTGCCTAACAGCCCTGAGTGATCAACGGAGCTCACAGCTCAGCACTTGAGCTCCTATACAGTACAATCCGTCTCCTCAAGCAGCTCCCTGACCCCTGTATATCCAAAGAGTCACCTCAAAAAGGACTGATCAGACTGACATTTGGCAGGCATCATTCTGGGACAAAGATAGCAGAAGAAACTGGTAGCATCCCTCACTGTTCCGCAGATGCTACAGGTGTACCCCAGACAAGCAGGACCTGGAGTGGATCTCAGCAGTCGCACAGCAGAAGGGCTAGACTGTTAGAAGAAAAATTAAGTAACGGAAATACTTCATCATCAAAAATCTGGACGTCCACTCAGAGACCCAATCGAAAAGTCAGCAACTACTCAGACGACAGGTGGATAAATCCACAAAAATGAGAAGAAACCAGCGCAAAAAGGAGGAAAACACCCGAAACCAAAACACATCACCTCCTAGAAAGGACCAAAACTCCTCACCAGCAAGGGAACAAAGCTGGACGGAGAATGACTGTGACGAAATGATGGAATCAGACTTCAGAAGGTGGATAATGAGAAACTTTTGTGAGCTAAAAGAACATGTTCTAAATCAATGCAAAGAAACTAAGAACCTTGAAAAAAGATTTGGAAAAAGATTTAAAGAAATGATAACAAGAATGGACAACTTAGAGAGGAATGTGAATGAATTGAAGGAGCTGAAAAACACAACACGAGAACGTCACGAAGCATGCACAAGTTTCAACAGCCGAATTGACCAAGCAGAAGAAAGAATATCAGAAGTCAAAGATCAACTCAATGAAATAAAACGAGAAACCAGGATTAGA